TGGCGTCCGACAGCGAACAAACCACGACCCACTGCAAAGTTTGTTTGAAAGCTGTTGTTGTGGGAGAAATGTTGCTCTCTGCAAGATATACAGGACAAAAAACAGTCTAAAAAACGGAATCGGAAAACGTAAATCGGGTTTGGTGTGGAGATTTAATTTTTAAGCCATATCGCCCAGCTCTACCTGCAACTTTATGGCCATAAAGTCGTTGCCGTTACTACTCTCTGGCATGCTGCCTGATGCTTTTGTGGTGGAAGGAGACTTCCCTGTCTGAAGATTGAAATGATATAAAAGAGTTTCGTTAAAGTGCAGAGATCTTTTTTTATGCTCTTTCACAACCCCCCTCACACAAGTACAGAAATAAGTAATGACATTATCATGTATGACACACACTTTGACATTTTTAGCCGGGACGCTGCTTCTGCTTAACGTCTCATTATAACTCAAATGCTTCATGTCTCAATTTCACATCACTAAGTGCCTTTTATTAACTATGCTCTTTCGTTGTGTACACTCTGATATCCATCGTAGGAGGTGTTTGTTGTGGCGTGCGAATGGCGTTCTTTTTACGTTTATGTGAGACACACAGAAAGACAAATAATCAAAGTCCTCAAATCCCTGTGACTTCTTGCCCCTGGTGTTAAATATTAAACACACATTCAGGTTATATGAATGTCGTTGGCAGTTGTGCCGTGCCACTCCTTAACATACATATTAATGAGACCAGGCACTGTGAAGTGGTCTGCCCTGTTGCAGCTGGGTTTCCACATGTGCTTGTATGCACAGGGTGATTGATGAACAACTGGAGCCTTTAGTGACCGTTTGATCTCTTCTTTTGCACAGTCTTTGTCATCTGAAGTCCTTCTGGAACACAGCAAGCCGCCAGAAGGAGTCTCCGTCACCTACAAGTCCATCTGTAAGAACGGTGTGGAAGGAACAGGGGAAAACGGCAAGAAGTGCTCCAACATCTCCATTGGAGACGAGGTAGACGTTATACTGTTTGGTGCAATTTGGTGTTCACGGTGAGAAAAGCACTGTCGGCCCTGGCAGCAGTGTTACTTTATAGTCTTGATATCCTTTTTATGGCTCGTGAAGCTGGTAAACAACTGTCCTTCTTGCTGCGTTAGCGTTAGGTTGGGGGAATTGGCTGTAACAGAGAGGAAAAAACACTACATTTGTTAATCGTCACTTCAAAACAAACAATAAATAATATTACTTTCTTATAATCAAAGTCATGTCTGAAAAATGGAACAATAAGCTTCTTCCTTTAGTAGTTTTGCTGACCCTTTAAACTCTCTACTGGTTTCCAGGTGTCTTTCAAGATTTCCATTGAATCCCAGAAGTGTCATCCCAAGACTGAGACCATTAAAATTAAACTACTGGGCTTCACTGAGGAGGTGGAGGTAGTTCTGAACTTCATCTGCGACTGTCAGTGCGCCGCAGAAGGCGAGCCCAACAGTACGAAGTGCTCCGAGGGCAACGGGACCTTCGAGTGCGGAGCCTGCAAGTTAGTATTCAGCCAAAAAGATTCACTAGATCCGTGCTGCCGAACTGTTTGGAGCTTAAAGGTCTTCCAACTTTCAGTTTCCAACCACAACTGTACATCTTAAACCAGAAAAGGGAACTACTTATTAGGAAATACGAGGTGCAGTGATAATAAAAGCTGTTGGTATTTGGGCTTCTATGGTCCGTGGTGTTGAATTATACTCTGCTCGTAATGTTGGACTTTGAGGACACACTTCAGTACTGAGAAGGTTAACCTCCTGTTTTCCCTCTCAGGTGTAATGATGAACGTATTGGGCGACAGTGCGAGTGCAGCAAAGATGAAGTGCGGACAGAGGACCTGGATGCCAACTGCCGAAAAGACAACGGTACGGATATCTGCAGCAACAACGGTGACTGTGTCTGCGGCACCTGCGAATGCAAGAAGCGTGAGAATCCTGCAGAGATCTACAGTGGCAAATACTGCGAGTGCGACAACTTCAACTGTGACCGCTCAAACAACAAGCTCTGCGGAGGTGAGGATTGTACAAATAATACAATTAGAAAGCCTGTTTATTGTTTACTCTGTGGTAACCTTTGTCTTTGCCTGTGCTTTACCAGGACATGGCCGCTGTGAATGCAGGAAGTGCATCTGCGACGCCAACTACACAGGCAGCGCCTGCGACTGCTCCCTGGAGACTTCCACCTGCCTCGCCAAGAACGGGCAAATCTGTAACGGCCGTGGTACTTGTGATTGTGGATCCTGCAAATGCACCAATCTCAAATTCCAGGGTCCAACCTGCGAGATCTGTCCCACCTGCCCCGGCGTCTGCGCCGAGCACAAGTGAGTCTGAAGCTCGCATTCAGATTTTACAAATGGAAGTTTATGCAAACAGTTTTCCACATTTATTCTATAAAGTCTGAAGGATTTAGTTTCACTGTGGTTCTTTTCCAGTATGATTAAATTGAGGAGTCTTTGTGAATAAAGCTGTTACACAGTAAGAAGGTCTTTGGTTAGAACTCCAAGCCTCTCTGTATGTTTATACTTAGCGTCTGCTTCCTGTGTATGCTGGACTCTACTGAATAGTATCCAACATGGAGAGAGAATCAACCCTTTCTTTGTTTTCACAGAGATTGTGTGCAGTGCCGAGCATTCGAGGCCGGTGAGAAGAAGGATACGTGTGAGCGGGACTGCAGCTACTTCCAGCTGATCAAGGTGAAGGATCGCAACAAGCTGCCTCAGCCTACAGACCAGAGCTTCCCTCTGACCCACTGCAAAGAGCGAGACGCCAACGACTGCTGGTTCTACTACACCTACGCCGTCAGGAACGACACCAAGGAGGTCTATGTGGTGGAGACGCTGGGTATGACTGACCCACTAAATGTTAAACATTAAAAAGTGTCCTCATTCTCTCATGTGTTGAATAATTCAAGTCATGCTCACACACGCAGGCAAAATGATACGCAGTCCTGCCAGTGGTTTCAGGACAAGCTGCAATGCACTAGGTTGCAGGTTTCAGATGTTTACAGAAATCAGATGAACATATTTAAGACAATTGTTAGGCCTGAAGGACACACACAATCCATTTACACATACTGTAAACAGAACGTTGTTTATTTACAAGAAAGCTCAATGGCGTGCCGTTTTAAGTGTACTTGAGATTTGTTATGTTAGTAGCAGTAGTGGAGTTTTTCTTAAGATGCACCATTAATATTATCGCCACAGAAAAATCTAATATTAGGAAGGGCACTCTCACTTGTACGACTGATACCCACACACACACATCAGCCTATTCCACGGACAGAGTAGTTTCATTAACGAATGAAATTGGTCTTTTTTTCTGAACCTCAGCATTTGATTTGGTTTCTTCTCTCTGTTGTAGAGTGCCCGGCAGGACCTGACATCATCCCCATCGTGGCAGGTGTGGTGGCGGGCATCGTACTGATTGGCCTCGCTCTGCTGCTCATCTGGAAACTGCTCATGATCATCCACGACCGCCGAGAGTTCGCCAAGTTTGAGAAGGAGAAGATGAACGCCAAGTGGGACACGGTGAGTCGATCGCACCAGAGCACCTGGGAACTTTATCTAGGGCACAGGCTTTACTCTTTTCCACAGTTCAAATAGTGCTCCCCTGAAGCCTCCCAGCTGTATATCTGCAGGAAGATTACAGTGTTTACTTGGGGAAATAATAATGGTTGTCCTTGACTATGAAAAGGATCAAGTTAGAATCATTTTTTTTAGACTTTGTAGATTTGAGTCTGTGTTTAAAAGCATCAAACACACCACCTCGCAGGTCTCTGCAGAGCTCTTATGGAAGTGAAGAAGGGTCAGTTCTGTAGTCAAAAACATGAAGTAATCTACAGGAAACTGTCCAGAAAGGAAACACACAAGAGATTTATGGTGGAGGATCCTTGATGGGGACAACACCTTCAGCTCTGCTGCTCTCACTCTGTCCTTCATCAGCCTCCATGCAGCCTTTTATTAGTCTTTATCCGCTGAGGGAGCGGCCCTCCCCTCAGCTGACGGTGCTGCCTCTCACTGTCCACACTGGACAACTGCACCACCATAAAAGGTAATGGAGCAGACAAAGAGGGAGGACTGCTGCTGGGTGACCACTGATGGAAAGCTCCACTGCTGCTCCCTGTGTGGAAGTCACAGCAGCAGTGTTTATGGACTGTTGGGAGGAATCCCAGGCAGTGTTTGTGGCAGATTAACTGTAAAAACACTGAAATGTTACAGGAGATAATAAATAACTTGTACAACGACAACAGAGAAGGAATGGGAGTAGTAGTTTCCCTGGCACTGATACTTTCCATAACATGAGAACATATCATTACTAGCATGGGAAGAAAAACACAACAATAATTAGTTACTCTAAGAAATCTTCATTTTCCTTCTGACTTCTGTGTTCTTGCTTTTTCTGCTTTTCTTCATTTCTTTTTCTTCTGTTTCTCCCTTTTTCATCTCCCCCTTTTTTTTCCTTCTCCACGTTAGCAAGGGAACCCCATTTACAAGAGTCCCATTAACCAGTTCCAGAATCCCAGCTATGGGAATAAAGCCACCGCTCTTTAAGTCAAAGTTGGTATCACCTGTTGTGAACTTGCATGAACTTTGTTTGTGCAGTTTTACTCCTTGACTGACTGCATGTTGTGAGATTAGCATGCTTATCCGCCAGTGGCACTTAAAGGGGAACTTTTTCAGCTTAGGTGAAAATGGAATAGTAAGTACCGCGAGAACCGAAAGAGCGAGAAACCACGAACGGCTTTATGGTAATTCCACATAAAACGCAGCAACCGCCGCCCCTCCAAATAACGGTTACGTGTTATATGATCCCACCTCCAGTAGATATTGCTCCACACGGAAAAAGTTGCCCAGCGATAAAAAAGGCAGGCATCCAGCAAAAGCGTAGAAAGAGGGAGGAGGGTGCCGACCAGCTGAGTTTTTCATTTTACGACGTGTTTGATAATACACGTCCAGAGCTGTAGGGGAGCTCGCTGAGAAAACATGTGATGACAAAAGTGAAAACCAGCGAAGAAATGGCTAGAGTTGCCAAGTTCCCAAGTCGGTTGGGCTTTTTCCTTGATGCCTTCTTTTAATGGCATCAACCTAACGATTAACAATAGTGACGCTCATTTAATTTACATGTTGTTGTTTTTATTTGAACCTTATACTGCCTATGTTCGTGCGCTGTACATCGTCGTCCAGTGAACACGCGTTCCTTCCTTCTTCTCGGGCTAAATCATCTTCATTGTCATCTAAAAATGTACAGCGGACAAACAGGGCTGTTTCATGAAGAGAGAAACTCATGCGGTTCACAGGGCAACAACAGAATATGCATACACATATAATAAAAGCATTACTTTAAATGTCTGGAGGAGGATCTATCTCTTTTGAATTAAATTGAATTAAACCGTGCGACACAGTAAGTTTAACCTTACCACCTGATTACACTACTCTGAGGAGGGAATTCATTTATTTACTGTTGGAAAACCTCCATCTCTGTGATTATGGGGGCTGTGATACTGCTGACAGCTGTTGGCTGCTCTGTACCTCCCTCCTCCGTCATAATCACTGTAAACAGCAAACTGTTGGGTGTTACGTCGCCTTACTGTCATTAGTAGTTGATAACCACTACTTACTGAACAGCAAATTAACGTATGCTGATTTATGTCGTCTCAGCTTGAGTGAAATGCTCTTGAATCGAAATATAAATGTAAAGTGGGTAATATGTTACACAAGGGCAACTTCAGTACTATTCCAACAATGCAGAGATTCAATGTCAGCGTGTATAAATGCTGCGTTTTTAATGACAGTCACTACACAGTACGGATCAATGGACCGGCCTCGATCTGTTTCGCCCTGTCACAGTCGCTATAAAGTTAATTCAAACGAGACGGCCGCATCCTCGGTGTTGACAGAGAGAGAAACAGGCAGCAGTTCTATAATGAGCAGGAAGTGAGAGGAGAAAACTAACAATACGGAGCTGCTGTTACCTGGAAGAGACAGACGGTATGGTCCGTCTGTTCTACACTTACGACACAGTGTGTAGGAATACTACTCCGATAATATTAAAACAAACTCACTGCAGTTTATAACAGATCTTTAGACAGAAGCCACGAGGGAAGTCGGACCGTGGAGCTTCTCAAACTGCAGACAGCAGAGCCAGAAATCCATCTCGCCGCTGATCGTGAATCAAACTGCACATCATACGATCAACCCCAGTTCTGAAGTGGGCCCAGTCCAGGACTGTAACTGGGCAGAATCCGTACAGCGTCTGCCCCGCCGTGCCTTTTCTTACAGCAACAGATTCCACTTGAGCGTCACCGCCTGGGTACACAGAGAGTATGTACAGATTGTGGTAGTTAAGGAGGCGAGAGTGGCAGCCTGACACTCCACAGTCGACTGCAGCAGTCAGACCGGAGCTGCTGAAACCACGGCAACGGTGACAAACCACGCACTGCACTCGAGATATCGCGTTTGACCGAACTGCGGCCTCCCGGTAGAGACGAAACAGCGTGGCCGCGCGCTCGCTGCTGGCCTTTCTCGTTTGCTGTTACACTATATAACTCAATGTTAAGACTGTGAGTTCATTGTTATTTAAATGGTGTCATTGTGCTGTGAAGTGCTGTGATTGGTTAATCTGCTCTCTCCGTTTTAGGTTCACAACACTCACTCTTGTCTTCTCTCCGTTCTCTCTCAGGGTGAGAATCCAATCTACAAAAGTGCCGTAACAACTGTCATCAATCCAAAGTACGAGGGCAAATGATGGAGCTCTGCCTTCGCTGTGAGAACACTGTATGGAACCGAAAATGGGCGGGGGGTCAAAGGAGGGGCGGGTTTTCTAATGCCCTCACTGTTTGTTTGTTTGTTTTTTGTTTGTTGTAGTCACCAAATGATAGCAATGCATTTTGCCACTATTTCAGTTTGTTTTTACTAACTTGTTTTTATTTTCTATGCATCTTCTGAAATCTGTACAGTCTGTATGAATGTGGGGTTTGTTTTGTTTTTTTGCCGAACTTGACAGAATGTGTTGAACTGATTAGTTTTTTGGCCACGTTAACAGAAAGCCTAGCTGTGCCTTTTTTTTTTTTTAAACACATTTAGTTTTTTATAGAAACATAAAGCCATCAGTGTTTTGTCGAGAGTTGAATTGGACGTTGATAATAGGCAACAAATGAAGAGTTCCTTTCCAAACAGTCTGAGGAACAAAGGTGAGCTGAAGAAGGTGTTGAGATTGATTTTAGCGTCTGAGCGAAGGTCTTAAAGCGTCTGTAATCATGTTGACTGAGCAGGCGTCTCTCTTTAAATGTCTCTGGATGGAAACTCTTCAGATGTAGCGTCAGTTGGCCGAGTGCGGTAGCAGTGAAATGTGTACAGTATGTTTTGGTTTCTGTGTTAAGCCATATATGTATTCACAGGAAAGAATTGAAGGCTTTTTTTTTTCTCTGAGTGACTTAATCCATCTGAGCGATCAGTTGAAATGTATCTTTGTCTAGAAAAGATGTTTTCTTGTGGTGCCTTTCTAGATTAAAGGACATCCGTGTACAGTAGTATTACTGTTTGGCTCCAGGTTTTACTTAATTTAAAGCCAACTCAGGTCCTTAATTCTTCACAGCAATGCCAAATACATGCAAACCTGCCTTATTTGCTAACTAAATCTGCTTATATTGAAATGTCTTGTTTTGTTTGTAGGATATGAGTTGGACATTGGGGTCCGACTTTTTTCTATAAGTCAGTAATTCCACTCGTCTCTTTTGTGGTGCCTCGATCAAACAGTTTTTTTATTGAGAAGAAATGGTGATAATGTCGTTCAGTTATAATCATCATTGGTAAGGGAATGATCTCTGGATCTCTAAAGTTTTGGGGTTTTTTGTAAAGAAAAAAAAAAAAAGGTTCACACGTCACCGTTGTTTTTAAGTGCCTTTTTTTATTTCACATTCACATTTGCAATTCTGTATTTCTGAAATTATTTATTGAATAAACATTGAAAACAATTTACCCCGATATTGTAACAATGTTATTGTGCAGTTACTGTTGTCGTGGTGTGTTCAGTGTCTCCAGGCTCGTTGTTAATGTGCAGGAATGTTTGAATGTGAACAAACTACAACAGAAGACGGGACGACTGACCAAGCTGGCTGTTGATTCATACCTTCCTCATCCTCACTCACGCACACACTGGAAACTGTGAGCTCATCTAAAACCAGAGTTCAATCTGTATTTGCTTGTGTATGGAACAAAAAGTTCTTAAAATCCCAAAGATTTTGTTTACACGTACCGTGATGTACAAAGTGTCCACACAACTCAACGAGGACCGAATGTAGGTGACATTGGACGAACTTTACTGGAGGGACAAAACAAATATTAACCGTACTTTGTCTCAGCTTTATTAGATTAAATCTTTAATATTAAAACTCCATAAAGATGTGGAAGAAAGAGAGAAAATATATTATCTTTCAGCCACAAATAGCTGAGTGTGTTTGTTGTGTTAGGTCTTTTAATTGTTGATTAATAATTCTGCTTTGGTTTCGTTGGTTCACATGTGCCCTTTTGCCAGTTACAGCTTACGTTTCATATATATAGCTCATCTTATATCGGCATCTTTTGAGTATTTAAAGTCCATTTTTAAACAGGAACACACTGATAAACTTTATATGTTTTCTGGTGTCTGTCCACCAAGATGTGTTTCTCTTTTTATAGCAAACTTGTAGGAAAACATGAAAATAAAGTGGAATAAAGTCATTTTTTCTGGCCTGTACATAAAACTGAATTAAACTAACATGACATTGAGACGGTGATACTTGTCATGCAGATTTAGAAGATTTTAAAAAATCCACATAAAGAGGCGACAAATAATCCTGCAAACTGAAATCAATGTTTTAAACGAGAAAAAAATGGATGTTTAAAATAAAACAAAATTAAAAATGTGACTTTAAATAGATAATTCATATATATATATATATATATATATATATATTTATATATATTTAAAAAATAAAAAGCAGCTAAAGAGCATCAGACTTTTTCACCGTGACACCATCAGCCAATCACGTCGCCGCGTTGCAGCGTGACGCCACAATCCCCGGGCTCTCCCACAGGTGATTGGTGGCCTCAGCCGACCAATCACAGGCCGCGTTTTACAGCAAAGTTGTTAACCCCCAACAGTAGCACTTTGGTCGCCTCCTCTAGTTTCAGCTGCTTCTAACATCGACAACGACTCACAATAATTCACTAAACACACACTTTTTCTCCTCTTCATCGACCGATAAACGCGGTTTGGACGAGGTTGGATGTAAAAGCGGGACGGCGGCTCTTCCTGCCAGGATACCGGCTCGTTTTTTTTTTAAGGGGGTTGTTGTTTTATATATATATATGTGTATATATATATTTATTTATTTATATATATATATATATATATCGTTATAAAACCAACAAGAAGAACTAACGTTAGCTGTGAAACGTTAATGTTTAGTTGGCTCTCTTCTGTCAGCTTGCTGCGTCGTGTGCCCTGACGTTTGTTTTTTTTTTTTTTTTAATTTCTGGACTTGGCAGAAATGTTGTCTCCATCTGTCTGTAAAAAGCCCGAGGTGTGCTTGGAATGATGCGACTCGTTGGTTGAGTATTTCCTACTAAAATGTTTATTTTTTGTTATTATATAACATGAGTATTATTTCACTTGATCGGATGGTCGCAAAAAAAAAAAAAGAAAAAAAAAAAAAAAGCCGCCCATCGCTGAATAGTGTTTATGGTCGGATCGATTGTTCATACACGCATCAGTATTCTGGCTGGTCGCTGGAGTGCAATTCAGCACTAAAAACAAAAAACCCCCACAGTTCCTGATACTTTGTCGTCCGCTCGCTAGGGAGGAGGTGATTGGTGATAATCGATCGATTTATTCCAGCACAAGGACGTTATTTCTTTTTTGTGTGTGGTGTGTGTGTGTGTTGTGCAAAAACAGAAAATCTAGTTCCTGGTTGTTGGCATTTAAGGTCAACTTTTGCTAGAAAGCTCATGTGGGAGAAAACCGAGGAGGGAGGAAGGTGGGAGGTGGAAGAGGGTGGAGGAGGAGCTTTGAAAGGTTAATTGTTTATATCTTTTATCCCCCCTCCTCCTCCTCCTCCCATCATATTGGTTGGAAATGTAACATTGTTGGATCACAGGCTGAAGGGTGTGTGGCTGAACAGTGCCAGGCAGTCCCCTGTGGTCTGACAGGGAACTGCTTGGCCCTGGCCCGCATGGGTCTGGATCCCTCACATCCCCTGCGTTTTCTACTGTAATCCACAGTAGTTTTCTCCCCCCTCCTCCCCTCCTCCTCCCCCCTTCAAACACCCACCTCTCCCTACATGGACTCGAAAAGGGGGGACGACTGTGGTAACGGATTCGGGCCTCCCTTTAAAGATGAAGTTTGGAGGATCGTGTGTGTCTAGCAGTGGTTGTGGTTCTGTCATCAGGTAATGATTCTGGGTTAGAAACTGCTGAGGGTGTCAGACGGGGGTCGGGGTCGGGAGGGGGGGGTCAGAAAAAGGAACAATAAATGTGTGTTTCCTGTGATTGTGTAAACTCTGTGGGACGAACCCCACCCTAGCACAAACTGTGTACGGTGTCCAAGTGCTGTTTGTTCGGTTGTGACGGGCCACAACCGGGTTCCCACGCCGCCTCTAAGACCTGGAAATTGATTTAAAAGGACCAAACGTCATGTACATAATCCATGTTGTCCTGGAAGAGTGTAATTGTACTTTCGCCCTGTCTGGATTGGAGGTGAACTGTAGTTGATTTTACAGAGATTGGCTGTGGAAAGGGGAGCTGACATGTCCCATAAACGCTGACTACCTACTTCTAAAGAACCTGAGTCACTCTTAAGGGAAAAAAGGAGGAATATAAGTGTAAATATTCGGCCTACCGGTAGATTATGTGGCTGTTTCTGAGCAAGTGCTGTCCTGTAATGTCAAGAAAACTCCTGGAAAAGGTCCTGGAAGTCTTAAAAACCCTGCTGTTAGTATGTCTACAAGCTTTACTGAGTTTTCAGAAGCTTAGACGTCAAGGTCATAAACATTACCATAGAGATTGTGTCATTTTTCACATGATCGTAGGACAGGAATGGCCTTTTTCTAATTCATAGTTTGTCTGGTACCTTTCAAGGCATTCACCTACAACACAGCGTTAATATCAGTGTAACTAAAGAGGAACACAAACCTCTAAAAGGAGAAGACATGTTTTCTAACAGCAGGTATCGATGTAATAGTCACTGCACACAGAAACGTACACAAATGCCAGAAGCTCGTGGCAACTGAAGGAAAGTTCACCTCTGAATATGGCAAGAGAGTGCGTCACAGTGTATGACGAGTAGAACTGGGTTGATAAGACGTTTCTAGGACTCAATAAATATGGACAAATAGTATCAATGTCAGCGTCTTTTGTCCTAAATGGAAACCGCTTCTTATGTCGATCCCACAGATTAAACTGCAAATACAAACTCTTATCTTGGGGCTTTTTAATTTGCCTCAGTGCTCATGATCACACAACTGCTTTGCATAAAGAAGCTACTTCCTGTTGAATGTATGTACTTGAATTTGGTTGTTGCTCTGTTACAGGGGGCAAAGCGCCGGTTCTTAGGCTGTCGAAACGCTAAAAGAACTGGATCGAGATGAAGCACTCATAAAGGTTACCATGTTCAGCATCTTATTTCAGTTGTAGCTTGCTATAATTCACTTATTAGCATTAAAGTAGAGCTGATGGTGATGGAAATGTTACAGGTATTGGACAGTTTTGACCTGCACATGACACTAGATGAGTTATTCCAAGTCATCCTGAGGGGAAATAAAAAAAATCTGTACCAAATCTTATGCCAATACATTCAATAGGCGTCCAACCAATCACAAATGGGGACGTCAGATAGTCCCGGGGTTAAAATATGTAGTAGCGATGTAAAGGCACTTTAACTGCGTCTGATCCCCTTTTTCTCCCCACATTTCCAATTATTAACTTCCCTGTCATCCAGAACGTGTTTCTTAATTGGCATCCAATGTTTGTGTCCCTTCTCCCGTCACGTTGACGCTGCAGAGAGAGGAAAAGCAAGTTTTTGGGTTTTTTTTTGCATAATATTGATATTTGCTCGATACCCAGATTAAATGCTGTTTTAATATGAATTCGCTGTCCACGAGGTCGATCCCCGTGAGCACACCCAGGTGTGGTAGTTGGAGGGTCAGACCAGGCAGCACTGCTGACAATTATGATCAGGTGGGGGGGCAAATGTTTTGTCTTTGCTCCGCCCAGACCAACCCTCTCCTAAACCTCCTTTTTAATTAACAAAGTGGAAAAAGTTTCTTTTTTTAATCTGACTTCCACTCCACTCGGTTGACCTTTCCCCCTGTACGTCAGTTGTTGTGTGTAATGTCTGTGTTTGCTTTAACCAGAGTTTTTGGTTAAATCTCCTTGTTGCTCTTATCGATCGGCCTCCAGGTCCTCATGATGCAGTCGGTGGATTTAATGATGGAGAGAAAACCTCAGTTCCCCTGGGAGGATCCTGGCTAAACCCGATGTCGTCAACAGGTAAGGTGCTTTAATGATCGTTAAAACATTATTAAGGTGTTGTGTGGCAAACAAAGCCCAGAATCCACTGGTTAATGGGGGGGAAAGCTACCCTGGAAGCACTGCACTTACACCCAGACTGATACCCCCACACAGCTGTAGTGTTATTGTCCATATTTTAGGCAAATGGTGTGTTCAGTGTGTGTCTTTGTGCTGCAAACATGTTGGTGTCCTGAAAGCCAGATCCTTCGCCTGTCAGGCCAGAAGAGGGCGACATTGTTCTTGTTTGTGATGCATGTTACCAGGAAGACTTTCACCTGGAATAAACTTCCTTTTCTTTTTTTATAAAGTGGGCTGTTATATGCTAGATAAGGTTTACTGCAGCTGAGTAATTCCTTTGGGTCAGTTAGCTGGAACGGCTACTTCTGTGGTTTTTTAGGCGTTGGCTTTTAGTGGATAATGTGGAATTTGTTGGTCAAGTGTAACACGAACTCTATGAAATAAATCTTAAGAGTATAGTTGTGTTTTACTAAAACTAGGAATAGTTTGGAATAGGAGATGATAATCTGGGATAATCTTTTTACTGATAGCATTGCAGGGGAGTGTATACAGTATTTCCTAAGGGCGTCCTGTTATCAAACCAATTTGAACTATCCTTTTATAATATTAATGCATGTCTAAAAAGTTCAGTACAACCGAATAAACTTTGCGCTATGATTTCTCATTATTTAAAAAGGTCTGGTGAAAACAAATATAATGTTATGGATATTTTATTTATTCAAACTGCACAGCCGATAATTGTAAATTAACAACACCAAATGTTAAATAAGTGATGCCATTGATCACTGCTGCAAATACATTGACATTAATTATAACTTTTTTTATTGTTATAAACATGTGAATCACTTTTTTTATTCATAAACCCATTAATTAGTCTATTTTGGCTTATATTATTAATTTTCATTAAGTAATTTAATATAAGTTATTCGTGTGTTTGTTTGTTTTTTAATGCATCAATGTATGTATTTTATTTAAACAGTTCCATTAATATATCATGCATTAATACAAGTTATTTTTTTTTTAATCATAGCAATTTTTATTTCTTAATGTTTATTTCAATAATTTGCTTTGTCAAAATTATACAATAATTATAACTCACTCACTTTTTTATTCATAAATCCATTAATTAGTCTATTTTGGCTTATATTAGAAATGTTAATGTTTTATGTGGGTTTTTTTTAATGCATCAATGTATGTATTTTATTTAAACAGTTTCATTAATATATCATACAATATTTTAAGTTATTTTTTATTTTTTTTTATCATATAATCACTTTTTATCCATAAATCTAGTCTATTTTGGCTTATATTATTAATTTTAATGTTTTATGTGTGTTTTTTTTAAATGCATCAATGTATGTATTTTATTTAAACCGTTTCATTAATATATCATGCATTATTTTAAGTTATTTTTTATCATATAATCACTTTTTTATTCATAAATATAGTCTATTTTGGCTTATATGAATAAGTTTCATTAAGTAATTTAATGTTATTTGTGTGTTGTTTTTTAATGCATCAATGTATGTATTTTATCTAAACCGTTTCATTAATACATCAAGCATTATTTTAAGTTATTTTTTTACATTTTTTATCATAATCACTTTTTTATTCATAAATCTAGTCTATATTAATTTTAATGTTATTTGTGTGTGGTTTTTTTTTAAATGCATTAGTTTATGTATTTTATCTAAACAGTTTAATTAAT